CAACCCGAGCTCCTCTAGTCTCCTTTCATATGACAGGTTTTCCATTCCTCTGATCATCCTAGTGGCCCTTCTCTGCACCCGTTCCAGTTTGAGTTCATCTTTTTTGAACATGGGAGACCAGAATGGCCCTGCCCCAGCGTCAGTTTAAGGCTCACACAAAGCGGATGGTGTGTATTTTACGGCATCGCCAGCGCTATGGCAGGGTGCTGTGCTTGGCCCTAGGAGATGGTCCGTATGGAAGTCTGCTTCTGCTCTGGGCTCTGCACTGCCCTGGCCCACTACCAGTGAGCCTCCATCAGGCCTAGCTTATGAAATCCGTTCTGGGTGTGAATTATGTAGGAGTCTCAGGATTTTTAGACCCTGCACTTTGCCCTCAGTCCTATATCCTCCCATTTATTTCTCTTAATATACATGTATATTTATTTGAACTGTAATAGGAGCATAGATTGTATATAGAGAAAAATCTCTTTGCTGATGGTTTTACAGGTCAATCCACTATCTTCACCACGTTGGGCTCTGTTCCATCCCTCAGCTTTATACACCAAGGGCTGATCCTAGATTACTTTGTCATTGGTAAACAGTTAAAAGCACCTGCCTACCAGCCACATGAACTGGGACACACAGCTCAACTCCATACTGACTGCAACAGACAGCAACGTGGCTAAAATAAAGGCAAGTTCAGCTGCATTGTCATCTCTTTCTTGTGGCTTAGACTCTCACTCTAGGAAAGTCCTATTTAAACAAGGGCTGGATCTCTTGGTTCCTTGAACTATGTTGGTAACATCGCTGTAGGTGAAGTCACCAGGACTGGTTTTTGTAGCTGCTTTGGCTAGTATTGTAATGGTTGTAGAGTTCCCTGCCCTCTAGAGACTGACTGAATGTTTCACGTTGATGGTTGGATTCAGGAAAAATGACTTTCACACAGGTCTTTTTCAGTGCTAGACTGGAGCGATCAAGGCTTCCAGTGTCCTTAGAAGGGATGAAAATTGAAATGCTTCTGCAAATATTTCAAGGACAAAAATGCTCAGGAGGAGGGAGCGATTCCTCAGGGTGATCCAAGGCTCTAGAAGAGAAAAGGGATGAAATGGGAATGCAGCCTGGATAGGGCACTGGACTGAGGGGAAGCACCTAATTCCTGTGTAATAAGCAACTTCTAGAACTGGATGGCTGTCCACTGTTCGCAAACATCACAATCCAGGCCTCTTTGCCCAAATAAAATCCACCTCCATGTTTACTGCAGATACTTATGGAAATTGTGTCCTCAAGGTCCTCTGTGTAGCTCATTTTTGTCCCTTCAGTGACGAGAGATTCTCTTGACTTTCCCAAGAAAGTTGGATCTTCTATTGAGCAGGATTATTCTGTCAGCCCTGCAGAACCTTTATTATACAACAGTTCAGAGGATGAGGTGTGCTCTTTTGGATAGATGCAAGTGGTTTTCTTTAAAGACCAGTGGATGAGCACCTCGGGTTTGGTCAGGCCTTGCTGCGATATCTACCCCATAAAAGCGTGGATTAACGTGAAAGGGAGCCAATTTGTGGGCAGTATGACGTGCAGCTCTGAGATGTATTATTTTATCGTTAGAGCCAGGACAGATGGCTGTGTTATAGAGAAGGCAGCAATAACATTAGGGGGAGAGTGGTCTAGTGCTTAGAGTGAGGAACTGTGCTTTGGGATTCCTGAGTTCTGTTCCCTCCTCTGCCCCAATTTACTGTTTGGAGAAGCCCTGAACTATTCTCTGCCTCAGTTCTCCCCATCTATAAAATGGGAGATTATGGGCAAAGAGGGTGCTAGAGGTACGCTATTGTTTTAAAGCTACTGGTGCTACTCCTAAGTAATCAGCCACGGGGGAAGGGACCCACTTACATTGCAGTTTCAGTCTGGCTAGAGAGAGCGCTAGGAATGCTGTTAGATTTTTCCAAGTTCTGTGACTATCCTGATGTACCTAATATGGTAATTGTTTCACATAATTAAAACCATGTCTTTTGTGAACATTTTTCATAGATTAAAAAGTCAGAAGGGACCACTGTGAAATCTAGTCCAACTTCCTGTATAACACAGACCATAGGACGTTCCTGAATTCATTTCTGTTTCAACTAGTTTCCCTCCTGGATTTCCCCACATACCTTCACCCTTCTGTTCCTCTGTCCACTCCTCAATCACCGTTGTTGCAATTTAGTTGATTTGAGGAGTCACCATTGAGAACACGAGGGCACTTCCTAATCTGTCCTTTGGTGTTAACACCCCATCCTGCTTCGATTTAAAGACAGATCCAATGTGGAAAGCAGTGTGAGATACCCTACCACTCCTTCCTGTGTGTGTAACTTTCCCCTGTCCTTTAGTGTCTTTACCACTTAATCTGGTTTCTCTTTCTCTATTACAGCAGCGTCTGAACACAACCAGCATCTCTTCCAAAGGTAACAATCTGTTTGTCTCAAGCATTTGAAAAGCACTTGCTACCCTAGCATTGAGGTTCTGTAGGAATATCCATTGCGTTGTACAATCATATGTTGTTGCTGTGTCTCAAATGGATGATTATACCTTCTTTATTTTTATTTTGTAAGAGCTGTTGATGCCTTTGGTTTAAAATCCAGGCAACTTCTGTACCCATGTAGCAAAGCAATGGCCATTTTCAAGCCCTTCTTATTGGT